TGGCCAGGTGTCCTTGGGAGAGGACCACACCTCCACACCCCTAAGGAAAACATCCTTGTGTTTGCCAGGCTCAGCTGGGTGGAGAAAGCCTACAGGGGCCAAGGTGTTATCAGAAACATGGAGGGGTCAGGGCTGGGAGTGCTCCAAGCCATGGGAGACCCCAGGCACCCCTGTCCCACTTTGTCACCTGCCTGAAACTCCAAAGCCATCAGGGCTGGGATTTCTGCAGGAAATCATTAGAGCAGCTCCTTCAGCAGGCAATAAATACATGTGAACACTTTTCAGGGAGACTCAGAGCCAGGGGAGTCTCTGAAGGTTTTCACCTGCAGCTGGACAAGAGGAAACTGTGACAGGGGAGCAGGGGATGAGTCAGTTCTCCCAGGGAAAGCCAGTCCCAGTCAGGGCATGCAGCTCCAGCCTGTGCTCACTTAGTTCAGCAAACCCCAAAGAGAATCAAGAATACCCTGAGCTGGAAGGAACCCAGAAGGACCATGGATCCCAGCTCCTGTCCTGCACAGGCACCCCAGCTGTTATAGATGGATAATGAGATGATTTGCTCTGGCAATTAAAAGATAACTATTGTGTCAATATTGAGAAAAGCTTTAGTGATGTACAGTTATGTTATTGTAGTTTAGATGCCCTCTGTTCTCCCCACAGTTCCCTTTCCCCCCTGTATTGTTGCCATCACACAGCCTGGGCTGTCCAGGACAGGCACAAAGAAGCTGCACAGGTGTCCCTGGCATGGGCCAGGTGGGAATGGAAAAGCTTGGGGGTGCTCAGGGGGTGGGCATGGCAACACCTGAGCTCCAATCCAGGTACAAAGCTGTCTGCACTGATAAATGGCACAGAAGAGCTGAGTGACAGACCTTGGGAGGGGCCAGGGCTGGCTGATGCAACCCCAGGGGTATAAAAGACTGGGCATACAGCTTGAAGATGAACTGGCCATGTGGTATCTATGAGGGCAGCTCCCAGCACTGTGAATTTGTCCTTAATATAGTCATTTTGTTGTATTTTTGTCAAGGTTTTATAAACCCTTTTAAATTTTCAAAGTGAGCAGTTGTCTCTCACCCCAACAAACCCACCCTGTGCTGCTCTGCTGCTTTCCCTGCAGAGCCTCAGAGCTGAGCACCAGTGGGGCAGCTCAGGTCAGCTCCAGTGAAACAACATCCCATGCTCAGGTTGCATCAGCTCCTTCTCTCAGCTCCAGTTAACCACCCCATGCTCCAGTTAACCACCCCATGCCCCAGTTAACCACCCCATGCTCAGCCCCTGCAGCTCCCTCTGAGCACAAACACCCAGGCAGCTCCCAGGAGGTCGAGGCACAGGTGCTGCTGCTGCTGTTGGAATGAGCACAACAAGGAGGGGATCCCTGGAGAGCCAGACCCAGGCAAATTACAACCCTGAGCATGTCTCCCCTGGTGGAGCCAGCCCCTTTAAATAGCCTTTCATCCAGAGGGTTTCCTGTATTCCAAGAGGTTTGCTTTTCAAAGAGATGTTATCCCAGATTAAAAACCCTAAAAGACACAACAACAACTTTTAAAAAAAAGCAGGTGATGATTAAGCAACAGAGTCAGACAAAGTGTGCAGCTGTGAGATAACAGAGCATCTCAGGGGCACGTGGCTGCATCCTCCCCCAGCCAGGGAACCTCGTTATCACTCCCAAACACAACCTGCACACTGCCTTTGGAATTACAGCCCTGCAACAAGCACAAACAAAAGCAGCCTCCAAAAGAGTCTTTATGAAGTGTAATGTGCAGCTCAAGGGAGAAGGGGGTTCAAGCTACAACTCCCCAAGCTTGCTCCTTCAAGGAGGGATTTTTTTTCCCCGTTACATTACATTGGCATCTTTTATCTATTTACAGCTCAGACATAAAGCATCAGAATGCTGGTGTTCATTAACTTTAATCTCTCACTGCACACTTTTGTGTTGTGCTGTGCTGTTGTACAACAAAGCTGAGAGCAGGGAGTGCCTAATGAGGCTTCAAAGCTCTTTGTTCCAGCCTGAAAACCTCACACCAGCACCAGGCTTTGCTCCTGGCTGTCACAGCTCTGCCTGGGGGGCGCAGAGCCAGGTGGGCAGGGCAGGGAGCTCTTGCCTCCACCTCTGAGGCTAATATTAAAGCTTGATTTGGAAATCTCTGTTAATATTTGGTGCTTTGCTCCTCAGTTACCCAGAATTGCTGTGGTTTCTCTTCCCTCCTGACAAACCCACACAAAGCCCAGCCAGGGACTGTCCTGAGCCTTCAGCAACTTCCCCAAAGCTGCTTCTGGTGACCCAGGGGACAGCACAGCTCTGGGTTTGGGCACTGCTCCCTGGAGCCAGCCTTCTCTCAGGTTACACAGCTGAGCCTCCAGAGGCTTTTCCTGGGCTGCAGCCACAGGAATTGTCCCTCACTCCCACTCAGCTGCTCCCACCGAGGCTGAAGAAATTCCTTCTTGTTCAATCACAGCCTCCAAAGTCACACCCACACAGCCCCATCCTCTGCCTGATCCTCCAGGATTCATCTCTAAATCTGAGAGCTCATGAGGAACTATTTTCCTGTAATTATTTTCCTGTAGAAGCCAAATCTATTTATTATGATGACTTTGTTTGTAATATCCAAAGCATCAACTCCGTGCTGCTGCTGTTGCTGCTCAGAATGATTGCCCACCATTAGTGGGAACTCTGTGACAATGTTATTGCCATTAATAATTCCTGGCTGTCACTGCAGCTCCTCCAGGATGCTGAGAGGGAGCACATGGTCCCAGAGATACGTTCTGGTTTGTATCATTTCTTTTACATGAGAAAAGTAGATTATTACACGCTTGGGAGGAGCTCTTCATAAACATCTGCCAAGTTACCTCATTATCTTCCTTCAAATCCCTCCTTAAAAATCTCATTTGTCATGAGGCCTGCAAAGCCTCAGCAGCAGAACAGTGGCATTATGAACTCACCCTCCCAGCTGATGGCACCACCTCAGCCCCCACCCCACTCTGCTGGTGCACCTAGTGTTTCTAGGACAGAACTCCTGAGGGATGTCCAGCCCTCAGCACAGCCCTGGGCCACCATGAGGGACCCTGGACACTCCTGACTGCAACCAAAGCACCCTCTGGGTGGGATGCAGCCTAGCTGTGCCAGGACACTGGGATTTTCCCACCTTGTGCCCAGGATGTTGGAACTTGTCCATCAGTTGGGGTCATCTCCCTGCCTCTCCCTCCCTGCTGCTGTACAACACTGCAACACAACCACCCAATATTGCAACACAACCCCAACACTGCAACACAACCACCCAACAGTCCAACACAACTCCAACACTGCAACATAGCCCTGTCAGTGTCCCAGGCCAGGCTGGACAGGGCTTGGAGCACCCTGGGACAGTGTAAGGTGTTCCTGCCATGGCAGGGGTGGCACTGGATGGGCTTTAAGATCCTTTCCAACCCAAACTTTCTGGGATTCTGTGAAAGCCAGAAATGAAAGTGCTTGAACACAGTCCAAGCTTTGGGCACCCTTCTGCCCCAGCCCTGCCAAACCCCAGGGGTGCCCTGCCATCCCACAGTGGGTACAGGATCCTGCCCTGATCCCCACTGCCAGCTGCAGCCCTGGCCTTGCAGACACTTTAAGAAGGATTTGTTTTGCTGTCCTGTGACTTTCCAGTGTCTCCAGAGCACCTGACTCACCCTCAGCCTCACCATGAGTGAGGAAGAGGCTGTTCAGAAACACATCCTTTGTGCACACCAATGAGGGAGAAGCTCAGTGATTACCACCAATGGCGTCTCTTTAAAAGAGTTCTTCTCTTTTCCCCATTAATAGGATAAAAATTTGGAGAAAGAGCCTCTCATTCTGCTATTTCAGGTGCTGGGCACTGTGGGATACCCCAGCAGCACCTCCCCTGCACTTCCCCTTCACAGCTCTGAAATCCCACAGCCTCGCCCTGGCACCATCCCAGCCCCTGCCCTGGAGCTGCCGTGGTTCCCACCAGCTGAGGAGCCCTCCTGATTCCTTTAGTGGTGATTAGAACTCATCAGCTTTCTGTGGTGCTCATCCCTGTGGTGTCTGAGTGCCTGTGTTTGCAGCCTGAACAGCTCACTGTGCACCAGCTCCTCTCCTCACAGGCAGAGCTCTCATCTCCCTCTGGAAATGAGCGCTCCACACCCTGCTCCCTGCCCTGCTCTTCCCTCCAATCACACCATCCATGGCATTCCTGCATTCATTTTTTTTCAAATAACATTAAAAGGATGAAGACACAGCACAACTGAAGAAGGCAGTAAACAAAGTCACTTAACTATTTGCTGTCCTTCACAAGGATTTTAACTGCCCTGATTGGATATTGGAAGGAAACAAAAGAAGATTCTTGGAAGAATTTGAGTCTGAAAATGGTCCCTGCAGTTCAGTGTTATCAAAAGGCAGAAGGGAAGGAATGACAACAGTGACTGAGAGCAGGCTGAACCAAAGGACACTCATGTGTAATGTGGGAAACCAAACATCCCCTCCAGGCTGTGGCAGGGCCTGACTGGACAGGTGAGCTGGAATTATTTCCTCCTCTTCATCTTTCCTGTTTCAGAACTCAGGGAATGAGGGTCCCTGCAGAGCACCAGCCATCTATAAAGCCTAGGATGGTATTTTACAGCAGGGAAACTGAGGCGCACACAGAGGAAACATCTCAGTTAACATCCCTGGGAGGTGCCAGATCAGAAATCCCTCTGGGCTCCAGGCTCTTGTCCTGGCAAATATTTTGAGGTGCCTATCTGCAACAACCAAAGTTATTATCAGAAACAAGGATACCCTGAGACCAGAGCTCCTGGACGGTACTGAAGGGAAAGGTCAGATGGCTCTCTGCTCACAGCTCTCTCAGATTTAGCTGTGCTTTGACCCCGTTCCTCACCAGAGAAGCTGCAGAGAGCTTTGTGTCAGCAGCACACCCACCCCCTAACCCCACGTGCCCTTGCCCAGGAACCCTCCAGGAGATTCCTGACCAAACCCAGCCCCTGCTGGTGCAGCTGGAGCTGCCAGTGCTGCTCACCCTCGTCGCTGTTGTCGTCCACCAGGATGATCTCCTTGAGCAGGTGTGCGGGTGTGTGGTTGACGGCGCTGTGCACCGAGCGCAGGATCACCGACAGCGCCTCGTTCACAAAGATGAAGATGATGGAGATCTGGGGCAGGTCCTTCCCATATTTCAGCTCTTTGCACCTGCAGCACAAAGGGCACAGGGGTCAGCAGAGCTCACAGGGCAGCATTTCAGCCAGGCTGGTGCAAATCCCAGGGTGCCCTCCCAGCTGTGCACAGCCAGGGATCCCCAGTGCCAATCCAGCCTCGAGTCGCTGCTGCTGGGGAGAGAGCACAGCAAAGCAGAGCAGCCCCAGGCACATCCAGCGCCCATCCTGTCACACATCTTTTATGAAAATCCTTTCCTTAGGATTTTTCCTCCTGAGAAGCTGAGAGGCCTGAAGAACAAAATGCAAACATTGATTATCTGCTGCTGTGGAATGCAACAGGTGCATCTGGGATTGGCCTCATGTGGTTGTTTCTAATTAATGGCCAATCACAGTCAGCTGGCTCGGGCAGAGAGTCCTAGCCACAAACCTTTGTTATCATTCTTTCTTTTTCTATTCTTAGCCAGCCTTCTGAAGAAATCCTTTCTTCTATTCTTTTAGTATAGTTTTAATATAATATATATAATAAAATAATAAATCAGCCTTCTGAAATAATGGAGTCAGATCCTCATCTCTTCCCTCAACCTGAGACCCCTGTGAACACCATCACACCCACCCCAGCTGTGTGTGTGGGCAGATAAGCAAGAGTGGCCTCCAGAACACAGCAAATGCCTCCAGCAGTTCAAGGGAAACTCCCCAGTCCCACTCTGCCCCAAGATTTACAGGTGCTCAGAAATGAGCCTTGTTCTTCAACAGCCCTTGGGAATTTTCCTCCCATTTGCTTCGGAAAGCAATGAACATAAAAGGAACCTTGGTTAAATAGTCTCAATAAATGTTTTTGCTCTCTCAGCTGATACTCCTGAGCACACTCCTGCCTCTGAAGCAGTGCTGTGCTGGTGTCTTTGCATTCCACAGCCAGGATGGTCAAACCCAAACTCTTGTGATCACCTCCCTGGTTTCAGGAATCATTCCTTAACTAGGGCAGGGGCTGGGGCTGGGTCTCTGCTCACACAGACTTCAGAGCAGAACAAAAGCAGGAGCTCCCAGGTGTGCACCAGCACCAACCCTGGCAAGCAGCAGGTCCGTGTTCCATGGACACACCAGAGCTGGGACATCCATGGAGCAGGGCTGGGGCTGGTCCCTGTTCCATGGACACACCAGAGCTGGGACATCCATGGAGCAGGGCTGGGGCAGCTCTGAGGGAAGGGGCGCTCCAGGTGCCCCCCAGCTCTCCAGGGAGCACAGGGACACTGATGTTGTTTCCCTGCCACGTTTCATCTCAACTGGACACCTCCTCTTAACAGAGCAATTGTGGAAAGCAAACAGGAGATCTTAATCCACTTCCAACAATTTAATTCTACTCTCCAGCTGCCTCTACAATAAATCCAGGTGGGGCACGGACAGAAGGAGCCTGCCCACGCCCTCCCCACATCCCTCACAGATTGGACAGGGAACAGGACCAGAGTCCCAAATTGCAATGAGTGTGCATGGAGCAACCCTGCCCAGATAAGCAGAGAAAGACCAAAGGCAGAGTGACATCCCAGCAGCTCCTCACTCCCCAGCAATGCCTCTGCTTTTAATTGTCCTGGGTGTTTCTTAGGCAACAGCAGGCGTTCTTCAGACTCCAGAATGAGACTTGGAGACAAAGATTTCCACAGAAACAGAGTTTTCTCTATGGATCTTCTTTGGTTAAACAAGTTTGCTGGGTGACAACACGGTTGTGTTTCTTGATTTAATTATTGCCTACCCTACAGCAAGCCAAGAGCTCGACAGAAGGGAACCAAACACTGAAAAGGATATTCCAAAGGGAAAATCTTTCTTTAAAATGGATGAAAGAACGGTCATGATGGGGCAAAGTTACAAGTGACCCTGAAATCCTGCCAAGAAAGTCAAACTAAACTGACTCAGACATTAAAAACAGCTTTTGGTTGATGTTGATACCTGCTCTGGTTAAGTCAAGGCTGTCACAGGAGCAGGAATGTTTCCTTTTAATCATTGCTCACCTCTGGGCAGCCTTCCCCCAAGGAATGCTGCAGGGGATAAAGAGCTCAGCCTGTGATCAAAGAGCTCTGGAGGCAAATCCAAACCCAGCTCTTTGAGGCTCATCTCCTGCTCATTGGCATTCTCCCTGCACCTCTCCTACCAGGGCTCTCCCTCCCCAGGGCCAGGACAGATGGACAGATGGACAGGGATCCAGGGATGGGAGATGAGCCTGGGAGGGAGGAGTGGGAAAGGCCAGCCCACCCTGCTGGGGCACAAAGCTCCAGGAGAGGCTTTGCACCAACACCCTGCTCTGGTGGCTTTGGCTCCCACCCCAGAGCTGGGAAAGCAGAAATTTAAACCAAATTAACACCAAGGTTGTTGTGTTCCTCCCACAGGGTCCCTTCAGTGCTGGTGCCAAAAGCTGAGGGGTGAGGGATGCTCTGCCACAGCCTGCAGCTCCACGAGGCTTCTTCATACCAGCAAATATCTCTGCAAGTGTGCAGGAAAACACTGGAGCTGTCCTGGGAAGGGAGGGGAAAAGGGCAGAGCAACACTTGAGCTCAGACATCACTGGGAAAGCCAGGGAGAAGCTGCAGGAAACTGGGAATGGTGAGGGCACGGGTGGGGAGTGCTGGGCTTTGGCTTGTTGGGTGGTTTGGGCTTTTTCTTTTAAACATTTTTCCATAGAAAAAGGGCTGATCTGGATGCTTTACCCTTCAGCCCCTGTGCAGGCAGAGGCACAGGTGTGACTGCATCACTGGGGAGCACTCAGAGCCTGCAGGGAGGGCTCACTGTGGGTCAGCAGTGCTGGGACACCTGAGGCTGCAGCCCCGACAGCTCTCCTGCACCCCCAGAAACAGCTCCCTGCCCACTGAGAGGCTGCCTCTGCTGCAAGGGTGGGTGGGCACGAGGTGGGAAATCCTGCTGCCTTCAGAACTTCAATGAGAACCCTGAGGAACAGTACAGAGAATCCAGCACTGACCCAGGCCCCAGCTTCAGGGGCTCAGGAGAGTCCCAGGCAATGCACCAAACCTCAGCTGAGACTCCTGACTCCCCCTGCCCACAGTCATCCCCTCAGCCCTTGCTTGTGTGCCAGCCAAGGCCCTTGGAATTCAAACCCCAGGCAAAAATCTTCAAAATTCAGTGAGACCTTAGAGCCCCTTCCAGTGCCTAAAGAGGGTCCACAGGAATACTGGAGAGGGAATTTTTGCAAGGACAAGCAGTGATAGGATACAGGGAATGGTTTTAAGCTCAAAGAGAGTCATATTGGGCAGGAATTGTTCCCTGTGAGGGTGGGCAGGCCCTGGCACAGGGTGCCCAGAGCAGCTGTGGCTGCCCCTGGATCCCTGGCACTGCCCAAGGCCAGGCTGGGCAGGGCTGGGAGCAGCCTGGGATGGTGGCAGTTGTCCCTCCCTGGGACAACTTTTAAGGTCCCCACAACCCAAAGCACTTTGGATTCTGTGAATCTCAGGTTTTATTTCTAACACCCAGCTTGTGCTGTATGTGGCCAGCCCAAAGCAAGTCTCATTCTAGAAAGTTGAATGCTCAGGGGAGCACTCCCTACACTTGAAAACTTCTCCATTTAAATTAAATGCAAGGGTCAGACCACCAAACACATTCCAGTGTCAGTGATTAGCCTACCCAGCTGAAGACCAGCCCATCATTAGATGTGGAATTTAGCCCACATTCCTCATTCCATCATCCCAAAGGCTGCCTCAGAAAGTTCTCCCTGCCCATGGAGCAGGTGCTCTCCAGGCTCATGCACATCTGCAGGTGGCCCCAGGACAGAGGTCCTGCCACACCTGCAGGACACAGGTGGAGAGGCCACTGGGCCAACAGGGAAAGACTCCACGTGCCAGGAGTCCAGGGAAAACCCCTCAAGGGATAGCCACCTCGATAGGGTGAGGGAAAAGGCCTCTCCCAGCATGCCTTGCTGTGACATGCAGATTCCATGTATTCCATTGGCCCTCCCCCTGGCTCCGCCCCTGTGCCCTCATCCCACTGGCCCTGCTGTTTTACCCCACCCCTCGAGATCCCCATAATGAACCCTGCTTTCCCAGCTCAATGGCTCTTGGTCCCTGGATCCTTTTGGGGAAGAAGCTCAATGAAGGCTCTCCTTGGAACCCCACACACAGACCCCTTGTTCTGCATCTCCTGGGTTCCAGAAGAGCTGAAATCACTCAGGGTCAGCACAGACCTGCCTGTGCCCCCCAGGTGTCTTCTTCAGGAAGGTCCCAGCACCCTGAAGAGCACCCACCATGACACAGAGGCACTGGGCCAGTCTGCAGCAAGTCCTGACAGAAGAAAACTGAGGGAGGCTGCAGGTTATCCCTTCCCATTCCTGCTCTGTAGGTGGGAAACACCCCCTGAGCACAGAGCACCTGCCAGCATCTGGAAATGAATCAGTGCAGGTCACACAATTACATTTTGTCCCACTAAATCCTGCTCTCTGCAATTAAACTCAGGCTGGTACATGCTTGGAGGATTTATACTGAAATATCATGGATCAGTAGTGGAAAGAAAGAGCCACCTCACAGTTTTGTCTCTCCTTTAGATCAATGAGGTATCAAAGAGGCATTTTATGTCCCATTAAATCATGCTTGAATATGTTTCATTAAATCATGCTCACAAAACTCTCCAAGTCTGAGGAGGCTGGGGAAAAACTCCCCATGTTCAGCACTGGGTTTAATTTAAGGACCTTGCTGAGGTCTCATTGAGAAATGTTCCTGGCCTCCAACAGGGGGGAAAAAAGGGGTTTTCTCTGTATTGGTCCAAGGCTCAGGCATGAAGGGAGAGGTGTGGGTGGAGCTCAGGGAAAGGTTCTTCCCCCAGAGGGTGCTGGCACTGCCCAGGGAATGGGCACAGCCCTGAGGCTGCCAGAGCTCCAGGAGCTCCAGGGATGCCCAGGCTGGGATTGTTGGGGTGTCTGTGCAGAGCCAGGGCTGGCCTGGATGATCCTTGGGGGTCTCTTCCAGTTCAGAAAACTCCAGGACATCTTTTCTCACTTCAGGACAGACTGAGGAGCTGAGGACTGACAGCAGCCCCTGCATAAAA